ACAGGTGATACATGTTTCTATTACCGTTTGGTTAATGTTCGATATCAAGTTGATATAGATATATATATAGGATCTTACATTCGTGTCCATGTCATATTGATTTCATTAAACTAGTTCAATACTTTGATATAACAATAGCCTTACGTATCTAAATACACTGGTGGTAGACATGGACAGGTAGTAGATATTAACAGGCGGTAGATAGGCGGGATATATGGACTGATGGTAGATATTAGCAGGCGGTATATATGGACTGCTGGTAAGTATAAACAGGTGGTAGATATGGACAAGTCGTAGATATAAACAGGCGGGATATATGAACTGATGGTAGATATTAACAGGCGGTACATATAGACTGGTGGTAGATATAATCATGTAGTTATTAACATGTTGTAGATATAGACAGTTTGTAATTATAGCCAGGTGGTAGGTATAGACAGGTGGTAGATATAGACAGTTTGTAGGTAAAGACAGGTGGTAGATTGAGTCGGTTTGTAATTATAGACATGTGGTAGATATAGACAGTTCGTAGTTAAATACACATGGTAAATATTGACAGGTAGTAGATGAAGACATGTGATAGATATGGACAGGTGCTATATAAAGACAGATTGTAGATGTAGACAGATGGTACATATAGACAGGTGATGTAGACAGGTGATATATATAGACAGGTGGCATATATAGACAGATGGTATATATAGACAGGTTTTAGATATAGACATATGGTAGATATAGACAGATGGTAGATTTAGACAGGTGGTATAGATAAACAGATGGTATATATAGACAGGTGGTATATATAGACAGATGGTAGTTAAAAACAGGTGGTATATATAGACAGATGGTAGATAAAGACAGGTGGTATATATAGACAGGTGGTATATATAGACAGGTGGTATATATAGACAGGTAGTATATATAGACAGGTAGTATATATAGACAGGTGGTATATATAGACAGGTGGTATATAGAGACAGGTGGTAGTTATATACAGGTGGTAGATATAGACAGTGTAAAGGTATAGACAGGTGGTATATATAGACAGATGGTAGATATAGACAGATAGTAGATAAAGACAGGTCGATATATAGACAGGTGGTAGATATAGACAGTTTGTAGTAAAAGACAGATGATAGATATGGACAGTTAGTAGATAAAGACGGGTGATAGATACTGACAGGTACTATATATAATCAGATGGTATATATAGACAGGTGGTATATAGACAGATAGTAGATGTAGACAGGTGGTATATATGGACAGGTGGTAGTTATAAACAGATTGTATATAAAGACAGATGGTATATATACACAGGTGGTATATATAGACAGGTGGTACATACATACAGGTGGTAGATATAGACTGGTGGTATATATAGACAGGTGGTAGATATTGACATGTGTTAGTTATATATAGGTGGTATATATAGACAGTTGGTATATATATAAGTGATATAATAGAGAGTTGGCAGATTTCGACAGGTTGTAGTAATAGGTATGTGATATTATAGATAAATGATATAGGCAAGAGGTAGATATGGACCGGTGGGAAATTTAGACATGTGGTGGATATAGATAGATGATACAATTAACAGTTTGTAGATATAGACATGCTACACTTAAACAAAACAAAGAAAAAAAAATACACACTAGCCGGAACTACTTTTATGGGAATTCCCTTGTCATGCCGAACTGAAAAGTTGCCGGTATTTGCAAAAAATATCAAAGTTTATACAATCTTTAAAAGGAAGGTGTGTGATAAAAGCAAGACCACACACTTGTGTTTTTCTAACGAATCAGAAAGCACTCATTTATTGCGCGGACGTATATTATTCACTCGTGCACTCCGCGCACTTTTGAATATATTCGTTCGCGCAATAAAAACACAAGGGTGTGGTCTTGCATATATATCCAAGGAGTGCTGAGAGGCTTTCACTTTTATACTGGTATAAACCCAAATCGTTTACACGCATTTGTGAAGCCCACTTGGGCATCATAGTAAAGATATATGTACATATCACATGAAGACCACTTGGGCATCATAGTGAAGAGATATGTACATAATAATAATAATAATAATAATAGGTTTTTAACAGCTGGAACAGTCTCAATAAATCTGGCACCAACCTTGAGCTGGAGAGCCATTGTTTGCTGACACTTTGGGGAAAAGACGATTAGTTCCGTCTTTTCCTGATTAAGTTTAAGCATGTTGGCGTTCATCCAGATACTGATATCTGTCAGACAAGCTTCCAGACTTTCTGAGACTGTATTCCAACTGTCCTGTGGTTTTATGACCATGTAAAGTTGTGTGTCATCAGCATAGCAATGATAGCGAAGACTATGGCGACGACAAATTTCTCCAATCGGTTTGGAGTACATACAATATTTTCGTGGTCCTAACACCGACCCTTGAGGAACCCCGAAATCTAGTACTTTGTCATGTGAGGTGGCAGATCCGATGGCGACACACTGTCGTCGTTCACTCAGGTATGACTGTATCCAGCATAGTGCGTTATCAGTCAATCCATAAGAGTATTCCAGACGTTTATAAAGTATGCCATGGTATACATATAACATGAAGCCCACTTGGGCATCAGAGTAAAGAGATATGTACATATCACATGAAGCCCACTAAGGCATCATAGTGAAGAGATATGTACATATAACATGAAGCCCACTTGGGCTTCAGAGTAAAGAGATATGTACATATCACATGAAGCCCACTTAGGAATCATAGTAAAGAGATATGTACATATCACATGAAGCCCACTAAGGCATTATAGTGAAGAGATATGTACATATCACATGAAGCCCACTTGGGCATCAGAGTAAAGGGATATGTACATATCACATGAAGCCCACTTGGGCATCAGAGTAAAGGGATATGTACATATCACATGAAGCCCACTTAGGAATCATAGTAAAGAGATATGTACATAGCACATGAAGCCCATTTAGGCATCATAGTGAAGAGATATGTACATATCAAATGAAGCCCACTTAGGAATCAGAGTAAAGAGATATGTACATAGCACATGAAGCCCTCTTGGGCATCATAGTAAAGAGATATGTACATATCGCATGAAGCCCACTTGGGCATCAGAGTAAAGGGATATGTACATATCACATGAAGCCCACTTAGGAATCATAGTAAAGAGATATGTACATAGCACATGAAGCCCTCTTGGGCATCATAGTAAAGAGATATGTACATATCGCATGAAGCCCGCTTGGGCATCAGAGTAAAGGGATATGTACATATCACATGAAGCCCACTTAGGCTTCATAGTAAAGAGATATGTACATATCACATGAAGCCCACTTGGGCAGCAGAGTAAAGAGATATGTACATATCACATGACGCCCACTTAGGAATCATAGTAGATATGTACATATCACATAAAGCCCACTTAGGCATCATAGTGAAGATATATGTACATATCACATGAAGCCCAATTAGGAATCATAGTAAAGAGATATGTACATATCACATGAAGCCCACTTGGGCATCAGAGTAAAGGGATATGTACATATCACATGAAGCCCACTTAGGCATCATAGTGACGATATATGTACATATCACATGAAGCCCACTTGGGCAGCAGAGTAAAGAGATATGTACATATCACATGACGCCCACTTAGGAATCATAGTAGATATGTACATATCACATGAAGCCCACTTAGGCATCATAGTGAAGAGATATGTACATATCACATGAAGCCCACTTAGGAATCATAGTAAAGAGATATGTACATATCACATGAAGCCCACTTAGGAAGCATAGTAAAGAGATATGTTCATATCACATGAAGCCCACTTAGGCATCATAGTAAAAAGATATGTACATATCACATGAAGCCCACTTAGGCATCATAGTAAAGAGATATGTACATATCACATGAAGCCCACTTAGGAACCATGGTAAAGAGATATGTACATATCACATGAAGCCCACTTAGGCATCATAGTAAAGAGATATGTACATATCACATGAAGCCCACTAAGGCATCATAGTAAAGAGATATGTACATATCACATGTAGCCCACTTAGGAATCATAGTAAAGAGATATGTACATATCACATGAAGCCCACTAAGGCATCGTAGTAAAGAGATATGTACATACCACATGAAGCCCACTAAGGCATAATAGTAAAGAGATATGTACATCTCACATGAAGCCCACTTAGGAACCATGGTAAAGAGATATGTACATATCAAATGAAGCCCACTAAGGCATCATAGTAAAGAGATATGTACATATCACATGAAGCCCACTTAGGTGTCATAGTAAAAAGATATGTACATATCACATGTAGCCCACTTGGGTGTCGTGGTATTGGCATTTTGTTCAGATGTCAGCGAATAGGTGATCAGTCGAGCACAAACGATCTTTAATTGTAAGCACTTGGTCAGAATGTGATGTGTACTGCCTTCTTAATTACCAATCGTTATTACCCGTTCGTACGGGACCTGTTTGTTGACAGTATTGGTCGATGGCCTCGTATTCATTGGACAGTTTTGCTGTCAAAGATCCATAAACTCCAAAAAACAGAATGAAAACAAAACACATTACTGCGAAATGATTTTAGTTGTTTCATTAGTTCTCTTAGTGCCCAGAGACTTTAGCCATGGATATAAAATTCTGTCGGAGTTTTGATTGTTATTGCATCAGTGATATAACTACGCATTTGTGGGAGAAGATACGATTGTTGTTCTATTTTCTTAATTTTTTTCTCAAAGTTAATTAATACTCTTGTTATTAACTTGCTTAAAAAAATAGCACACACGTCAATTCACAGCGTGTGTTACATATCTCGTAGCATCCTATACACTGTGTGAATATACATTGTATACGGGCATCCGTGCCTAACAGAATTAGTTTTGAAAAAATATGTCCTTGTCACATGACTTGTTTTGGATTACTACGAAATATAACACCACTTATATATGAATACAATCTGATATTGCCTAAGCCAGTAGGCGGAACCTTAGCTACATGGTTAGAGATGTAAACATTACGGCCATAAACTGTATCATACTCCTACCACTTGGTGGTACATGGTCTATTTCAGTTAAATTCTTCATAGTCATCATCGTTAAGTGTGTTTACATTATTCGAGAGTACGCAATTTGATATAATATCTTGCATCTGACAGAAAATGACAAAAAAAGTTAGGACGTACGTAATTTTACTAGTGTACTTAATTGGTTATTTTGCTCCGGTTTACACGCACTTTTTAAACAGAATATTTAAGGAATCAAACTGGTTTTTCCAGACTGAACCATGCAGGAAGTAATTCACGCCGATTTGGCCACATATCCAGATAAATTACTCATATAACGCATGTTTTCCTTTCGTCGAAACATACATTAACTGACGGTAAGATTTACATTTTCGTTAACTCATAACCGTGGAATATTTCCATGTAATATTCTATTGGCAGAGTATAACGATGAACATTTGTTTAGCATTGGTCATACAGTTGGAAGTAAACTTAACTTGGTATCTAGTGCACTTCGTAGTGAACAAGGAAGTGCACTTGACAAAACAGTGAAGTGCACTCCAGTTCACCTCAGTGTTAACTCCAGTGCACTACAGTGTTTACCAAAGTTTAAAAGATATTTCAATAATTGTTTATAGTGAAATGGGTTATTTTGTGATATGAAAATTGAAAGTGAAAGGAAAGAATCATTTAACTGAATATTTCATAATATCGAATCAACGATGTACATATTTTTTGTTTTCTGATTATTTTTAATTTCAACTAAACATAAACATGTACAAAGATATTTTGTACACTATCTCTGGTGATTATAGAAAAATTATATAAAGCTAAACTATTTCAGAGAAAAATCAAATCAATTAAGTTTCACAGATAACCTTAAGTTTTGATCATACAGTTACAACTTTACATCAGTGGCAGATTTAAAGATGGCTCCCAGGGCAATGTAACCACCCCCTGATAAATATGTTTCTTTTCAATATGATATCTACCTGTGGTCACATGGGATTCTGCTGGACTGTACGCAATCTTAACACGTTGTGAGAAAGCAGTAAATCCTGTCAATTAATCCAGCCCATTGTCTGTCCAATAAATATGCACAGGTAAACCAGTACATGATAACAGGTAAGATACTGTGGCTGTCCTTTTGTCAGGAAATGACAGCATTGGGCACAATTCTATTTCAAAACAGTGACTGTTTCACACTACCTAATCCCTTAAATGGTTTACAAACTGGGTGTTACATAAATAGTCAACACTAATTGATAACACACCTCAGCATCAATTAATGGGTCACTGAAACATGATAGAGCATTTTGTACCTGTACGTCCAGTGGCCCATATAGCCACAGTGCACAGGTGTAACAATTAAAGAACTGGAAGGTCAATTAGGAAATTAAATTTTGAAAATTTCAAAATAAATTGGGAAGGAATATGAGAAGGTTAAAGTAATGTTAGTACCTTTTTTGAAAACACACTAAAAACTGTTCTTTAAAAAATGACTCATTAGGACTCGGAGCAGTTATCATTTATAGTAAATTTATCATTTTTTTAAAGATAATTACATAATGTATCACTATGGTATTATTTATTCATCAATCATCTACTCTTTGGATAGGTGATCTGACAATACCTGCATATGTGTGTTTATTTTGATTGGATAATACTTTTTTTTATTATTTTTAGACATTTTTTAAAGTTTATTCTTATGTTTAATTACATAGTAGACATGTAGATTAATATATTTTCTTACTAAAAACACAGACTAAGAGAGCATGTAATTCCGTACTAAACTACACACTTCGTAGAATCAATATTATTTGTTTTTAGTGGTTTTTAAGAAAGTCTAAGTTTTCTTGATAACTTGAAAAAAGTGTGACATCCCCCTGAAGAAACATTTCATAGAGATGTTTTTAGGGTCAGGGCCCTCCAACCCTCCGTTTGCAGAGAAAGAGAGAGACATATTTTTTACAGCTGGTGTGTATATTGTGCCTTGTCTCTACCATGAAGGTCAAATTCTAAATATTATTTAATGTAGAATGCATGACATTTTTCAACAGGAGTGTCTAGATTTAATTAATTCATCTGCTAAGTGTTCTCTTTATAAATTTAATTAAACATATTGGATTACAAAATATAAAACAAATTGCTAAAATTCGGTTGTCATCGCATACGTTGAATATTGAAACTGGTAGATTTCATGGTTTAGAGAGAAAAGATAGAGTTTGTATATATTGTAACACTGGCGATATTGAAGACGAACATCATTTTATTATTCTGATTTAAGAAAATATTATCATAAAAAAAACTAGTATGGCAATTTTTTTAGATTTTATGTCAAAAAGAAATAATAAAGAACTGTCTAATTTAGCCAAATATCTGGACCAATGTCAAAAAAGGAGATGCCATACTGTTTAAGATTAAAGGAATCACTCTCTACACTTTCTCTGTAATTTTATCGTATATGCATGGTCGGAAGGTTGTATTCTCCGTTTATATATACATATACTGTATAATTCGCACTGTATATATATATATGCACTGTACTGATAAAACGCAAGGTTTAAGATAATAAAGAATGAATGAATGACCCCCGCCCTCATTCCTTCTATTCAGATTTTGCCCCTAGGTTCTGATCAGAGGTAAATGTAATTTGACATCAAACCCTATACCTTGTGTAATACACACATCCTCAGGGCATTCCAACCCCAGTTTCTCTTGTGCTAGCTACAGGGGTTCAGACAGGTTTGATGATGTACCTGTAGAAAGGTCAATTTGGATACCTACATATTTAATTGTTTCTAGATAAATGTTTTGTTGGAATTCAGATCTGCATTCATGTAACTATAGTACATTGTTACCATCATGAATAAGACAATTTATATATTTATAGTAATTTTTTTCTTATTGACAGTACATGTACGTAGTTACCTACTTACCTAGCTTTCCAATATTGTTTTTCAATATGAACATACAGAAAAAGTCTCACTATCATGTTCGAATATTATAATGATAGATTTGTATATCTAATGTAGACGTAATACTGTCACAACTATAAAGGTACTTCAATGGTGATTATGTCTTTCAGATAAAGTATTATCAACTTTAAACCACCAATAAATGTATCTATACATGTGCCATAGATCCAAGTCTTCCATGTGGTAAAATGTTAATAGGTCATCACGCTTTATAGTCATTATGCTATTTTCATGAAAGGACACTTCTTAAATCATTGTAAGTAAATGTACATGTTTATTGAATAGACGGGAGGGAGAAAATTGTAGTATGTATAAACTGATGAAAAGGCCAGACATACTATGATAAAGAAAAAAAAAATACCTTGTGAACTGTAGTTAACTCGAGTGCACATTGATGTGAACTCCAGTTTAATCAGTGTTAACTCCAGTGCACAAGCTAGTGAACTAGAGTTCACTTTCCTTGTTAACTCTAGTGCACTAGGCTACCAAGTTAGGTTTGCTCCCAACTGTATATCAAAATATGTGAACCATGTGTATAAAACAAAGTAATACTACAAACTCGTCCAGTAGAAAAAAATGAAATGAATCACATTTTGAGGTCAGGGGGATACGTTTATAACTTCTTTGCAAGCCTGGTGTACGGGGTGTTTGTATTATTCGTTCCTAGCGGGGCCAGGAGTAATAAATAAAAGACTGTAATAGTTTATTGTGCGGACGAATATAATTTCACATAGTACTTGTTTGTATGAATACGTCTGTGTTGCAAGTGATTTTTAATTATGATATTATATATTATAATTGTATTTATTAACTACCAATATATGTTATCCATAAGCATGTCCAAAAATTATTCAAATCAATAATTTTATTCCAAAAAAAACAAAATGGCCAAAATGACGTCCACTATGGAATAACGGCGCAAAATTTCAATATGGAGTAAAACAAAAGCCCAAAAATATATCAGACTTGGTCCAGACTGCGTTACTCATCGACTTAAGTGTAAATATTTTATAATTACTGTTGAATTCCATTAGAATAAGCGTGTTGATCAAGTTTGTGTTACATCCTGTTTATTTCTACCTAAGTTGTTGTCTCATCAAATCCTCTTGTTCAGACAAATCTGGATACATACAACTTTTTGTGTGTTTTGTTCTGATCTTTTAGCATCAAAAACTTAATCATATTACCTTTGCACTTAAATAACCAGAGTGTAAGGTAAATACATAAACTTCCTGACATCAACGCAGTAAGTTTATCTGTAGCACTTCATTTTGTAGTAACGAAACATAACAAGAAACGAGGAAGTGTTTATTTCCCGCGTACACCTGTATTTCCCTGAGTATTTAGGTCAGGCCTTATTCATTTCGTCAAAAAAATAATTTCTTTATCTCCGGTTGAGATACCTCTGATCTTTGTATTGAATATCAAGCATTGCATCAGAAAGGTTTTTTTTCGAGCATTCAAATCCAAACAGAGAAATTCTGTGTACTACATTACAGTTTTCCTTTAAAGGGAAACATAATTGGTCAACAGCACGATATAGTGTCAAACGATATCTTCACGATTACACCTGTGTACTTGTTCAAACAATAAATACGGGATATACGTATACGTGACTTGCCTGATATTGTAAAATGAGATATAATGAAAACCCCAGCGAAACAAAATGATCGTGTGTTTATATGTTGGTGTATATACGCTTAAACATCTTAGCTATCTTATAATACACAGCGAGTCTGGTAACGCTTTTATCCCTATGTAGCGTTAGTAGACTCTACGATGCATTGATATGGACGGCTGCATTTTGGTATAAAATGGTGAAAGGGTTAACATCTGTTTACATTGTTTTCCGTGTAGAGAACATTTAAGGTGGTGATTTAAAACGGAGGTATTATGACAATAATTTACCTACATTAAGTTATACCTAATAAGGAACACAGTATTACATGTATACAGGTGATAGAATATTGGGGTCTATTTTTTCAAAAGATGATTCGTTTTATCACCCTTTAACGACATTGTATAGCCTCTAATAACTTGATCAAAATGCAATTAAATTCTACATTGCTAAAATATTTGTGACCTGGAGAGTTTTAACTTCGTTCATGAATGTGTTTTAATGATACACGAAAAACATAAAATAAAAAATAAACAAGTTAGGCTATAATGCTTTTTCGTATTTTTGAATTCTGAGTTGGATATTAATAAAACTATCTTCCACCGAACTTAAGTTTATGGGGCAATATCTCACTGAAGTTTTTTATTCTTATTTAATTGTGCTTTTTTGCAATTTTGAAGGTTACGTGGTAGCGGAACTTCCAATAATTAGTATATATTTACATTATTTTGTTTCTGACTAATCGGTCACAAACTATAAGTCGATAACACTGAGAATCACT